CGCGCACAATTACTTTCCAATTAGGATTTACTCAAATTTATATAACTTTATAAATGCACTCATGTTAAAATCATTTAACCTTGTGCAGAGAAAATGTGTATTGTCAATGTATAAAATGTTTATTCCTGTATAATCTATACGGTACTTTAAGCCCTCATCTTTAAATGCCATTATTGGTAATACACTCGCACCACGCACGTACGCACGCGCGCACACACATGCTCATGACAATTTTATAATAAATTATAGTTGCTATTTCCTAAAACGGGCATTAGGCCATGATGTATTTCCTGTATATAAGAGACAGATATTATCAACAGGTATGTCAGTTTTATTATTACGTTGCGAGTAGACCCGTGAGTTCATAAGCCCTCCTGTAATTACAATCGTACACATATCATAGCCCAGTAAGCTAAATAAGTACAATTAAGCGGTGAGAGCTCGATGATGATGATTAGTGGTTACGTGATGGTTGATGAGCAGAACACGCGTTGTCCGCTGTTATCAGAAAGCAAATGTAGGAAATGAAGAATAGTATAGTTTACTAAACATCGTCACATGTTCTCTAATGCAATATATATATATATATAAATAAGTACAATTAAGCGGTGAGAGCTCGATGATGATGATTAGTGGTTACGTGATGGTTGATGAGCAGAACACGCGTTGTCCGCTGTTATCAGAACAAATGTAGGAAATGAAGAATAGTATAGTTTAACTAAACATCGTCACATGTTCTCTAATGCAATATATATATATATATATATACAAAGAAACGCCTTCGACACCTTTTTGTGCAAAAATCGGACTCGCGTGCGCACCAAATGAAATCAGTGCTGACTGTATCGCATAATGTTTTTATATAGATATTTACACGTTTTTACAGATTAGTTGTTACAGGTTTTATGAGCAGTGTAACCATTTATGATACATATTCACTACATAACTACATACATAAATACACTGTAAGGGTCCCAAGACGATACAGCAAGTCAATTACAGATCAGCGAATTCGTATATACTACACCTACAATATTTGAAACGTAAAATTCCTTCAACGCTTGTAAATAAATATCTATACAATCGGATTTGTATTTCTGGTAAGTGAGCTAGAAAAGTCAACAAGAGTGCAAAAAGGCCAAAGAGGACGAAGCAGACAGTACCCACAAAGCACCAAGAGAAAATACAGTTAGGCCCTGATGATGACGAATAGCAAGCCTGCACATCTATCTATTGTCATAATCGTTGTTATTTATGTTCAGATGGATGTTATTCCTTAGTTTATACACGATCAATATATAGAGTGTGAATATGATTATCCGCCTGCCTCAACACCAGATTATCCGCAACGAGATGCGCTCTAGCGTGTATTCGTATACCACAGCATAGGCTATTCAGACTTGAAAACATTTACCACAGCCTGCGGTGGTGGGCTGTAGTCGCCTGACCTAATTTTCCGTCTATTCAAACAAAAACAACTATCCGACAACTATCAGGACAAGGCAGCACCGAGCGGCTATTAATAGGAAGCTACAATATGACTTTTCATTTTATCCTTTCTCCGAAGGTTCTTTAATGTGGCTGATGCCAAGTTAGACGGATGAGCTTATGGGGACCATCCGGTGAAGCATAAGTTCCAGATTGGAAAACCAGACGGTCTGATTGGCGAATACCTTCGCAGAAACAACAACATATCCTAATTATTATAAAGGACAAATTTGGCCGTTGCCGTGGGGTGCTTTAAATTCAATCCTATGTTATTTCGATTCTCGTTTCGGCATTGCTGGGTCCATTCCCCGGCAAGCCAGTCATTGCTAGACGTTTAATGCTCTACTCAATAATATAGCTATATAAAAATATACAATATAAACATCTAATAATACCAATAGTATTGACGCTAACGTATCAGTCAGCCCCGCCTACGCCTAAAGGGCACTAGCAAATTATTGCTCTCTCCGTTTGCGCGCTTGGCGGCTAGAGACATCGATACCACCACTCATCTCATATATAATTCTCATAGATATGGGAGGCGAGTGTCTAGCTACTCTTCTTTCTAATTAAACGTGAAGCATGAGTTACATGCGTAATTCATGGCGCAATGTGTGATTAATGCGCAGTTGTGAGTAATATAAATAATATACGGGCCAATCACGTTGTATATAAAGCCATTCGTAATATAACGAGCAACACTAAAATATTTTATCAGGCAATTTGTGACACCGTTTGAAGAAATTAGTGTAGCGAAACCATTTCGGTATAAAAAACGAAAGAACATATTAGCAGCATCGCAAGCGCTGGACACTCTAAATTTTAGTCAAAAACCTATACGTAAAAATATATACCTGGACAAGTGGCTGAAATAATACCTGTTCTGTTTTCTCATTAAGTCTATTGGAGATATTCAAACCAACTCACAATACAACACTTAGGTGTGTGCGCCATGACGTGGTGTGGTGAGGCGGTATACTAGTTTTTATCTATAGCAACTCCAGACTTTCATATCCAGTAAATCTACACACCGCATCGACCCCACTCATTTAAATAGGCTTTGTGCGAATCCAAAATATCAGTTATTCAAAGTTAGCTAGCGGCATGCGCGGGACTCGCATTTTAGCATGAGGACACAATAGAC